AATGTTACAAATATACTTTCTAATGATATTGGGCTTTAATTAGAAATCCATGAGAATAAGAAACGACCTAGAAAAATCGATCTAGAAAAATCCCCTAAGTTGGAATTAAAGTAACTTATCAATACATATGCATGGCAAAAGAGTAAACCATAATGGAAATTGGAACATATTTTCAATTGAATGACAATAAAAACATTATGAGTAACATTTTTGCGGATGCAGCTAAAGCAGTGATTCCAGGGAAATCAGGAATATACTTAAAAGAAAAAAGATTTACAGTTATCTGGAGAAAGAAGACCAAATTGAAACCAAAATAAGAAAGATAAAGGAAGTAGCAAAAATAGGAGCAAAAAGTCATGTATAGTAATAAGAAACAAAAATTAAAGAAAATGAATAAATCTAAGACTAATAAAACGAAGAGACCTCAGCAAGAAAAAATATTTAAAACACAAAATACTAATATTAGCTATGATAGGGATTATGACCAGAGGTCACACAAATATTTTAAGTATAATAAAGTAATATGAATATTTGACCATGTGGACAAAATTATTATGTTGAAAATCAGTTTTCAAAAATTAACCTAGGACTCGAAGTGTGAGTAACTATATTTTTTAAAGCTTCAATTTATAATTAAAAACCTTCCCACCAAGAATACTCCAGACCCAGATGGAACCTCTGGTGAGCTGATTTACAGTTGTATGGAATAAACCAATAAAATAAAACATATCTATACAACGCTTAAGCAGTTTATTTAATGAGTTCAGCAGTTCTGAGTAGTAAAACATGACAGAAATATTTCAAGAAAAGAAAATCAGAGAGTACCATTACTCCTGAGTACAGAATCAAACAGCTTTAATAAAATACTATCAAGTTAAATCCAAGATTACATCACAACCAAGTGGGGATATATCCCGGAAAAGTGAGACAGGCTTAGCATTTAAAAGATCTTGCAAATCATTATTACTCAATAAAAATAATTAAAAAAAACAGTTTAATTCACCAAGTAATCAAATAGAGAAGTGCATCCATATGATTATTTCAATATATCTCAGATGAATAGTTCTAGCAAAATCTCAACACTTATTCATTATAAAATAGCACTTATCAAACTAGGAACAGCAGGAAAACAACTCAGTCTGAAAGACATCTACAAAATGTCTGAAGTTTACATCACACTTAGTGATGAAACAGTGAACATCTTCCTCCTGCGAACAGGAACAAAACCAAAACATCCTTTTTCTCCACTTGTATTCAACCATCTATTCAACAATAGACAAAACATAAAAGGCAAACATATTGGAAAAGATGAAGTCAAACTCTTTACTCCTAGATAAAATGACTGTTTAAATAAACATCCAGAGGAACCCATGGAAAAAACTACTGAAGTAATACATAAATCTGAAAGACTGCAGGATGCAAAGTCAGTATGGAAAATATCAAGTGTATTTCTATCTACCAGCAAACAGTGAAATGGGAAATGAAAGATTTTAAATTCAATTTTTAATAGCATAAAAAGATAACGTATTTAGGAATAACCATAAAAGATGTACAAAAGTTCTATGTTGAAAAGCACATAATCAGGAAAAGGGTCTACATAGAAGGAATTACCATGTTCATGGATTGGGAGACTCAAAATTATTAAAATAGCTATTTATTGTCAAATTAAATTATATATTCAGTACAATCCCAATCAAAATCCCAACAGGTTTTTTTTTTTTCTTAAAGAAATTGACTAGTTGATTAGAAAATACATATGGAAATGGAAGGGATCTCAAGTAGCTAAAACAGGCATGAAAGAGGAGAACAAAGTTGGAGAACTTAAACTGACTGACTTCACGACGAGTGTGCAAGTGCACTAATGATATAGGGAATAAGTGAAGAAATCCTTGAATCAGAATAAACAATTTACATTTACAATTGATTGGTTTTCATTAAAATAACAAAACCATTCAATTTGGAGAGGAATTATTTCTCAAAAAATTGTGTTGGTGTAACTGCATAAAAACCTGAAAAAATGCATCTCAACCCCTACCCCAAACCATGCACAAAAATTAATTCAAAATCATTATAAACTCAAATGTAAGAGGCATAACTATAAAGATTTTTAAACTTGTTTTGGCAAATATCTCTTAGAAAAGACACAAATATCTCTCATAAAGGATAAAAACATGAACAATTAGATTTCATCAAAATAGCACCTACTTATCAAAAGACAAAGAAAATAGATAAACCACTGACTGATGAAAATATTCAGAAAGCATAAACTGTAATATGTGTATTATTTTCAAAATATATTTTAAACACTCCTACAAACCAGGCAAACACACCTAGTGGGCAAACGACTCATACACTTAAAAAACAGAAGATATATGAATGACTAATAAGCACATAAAATATGCTTTGCACCATTAATCATAGGGTAATGCAAATTAAAGACACAATGAGATCCCATACAAAGCGACAACACAAAAGACTAATAACTTCAGATACTGGTGAAGATTTGAGAAGAATGTAACTCGCATACATTTCTGGTGGGAGCACAAATTGAGACAAAGATTCTGAAGAAATTGAGACAAGAAATTGAGACAAAGATTCCTTGCCCCTTGTAAGTTCTTTAGAAAGTTTAACATATACTGGCTCAATAACCTAGAAACTCCACTCTTTTCTATATCCCAGGAGAAATGATTCCATGTGGCCACAAAACAGCTTTCCAAAAAAATTTGTAATACCTTTATACATAATATCTAAAACTTGGAAATAACCCAAATGTTCAATGGGAAAATGACCACATAAATTGGGGCATAGTCATTTGATGACATACTACTCAACAATAAATGAAAATGTGCAAAACTATTGTGTTATACTCAAAAAACAGAGATGGAACCTCCCAAATTCTACGGAATGAAAGAAGCCAGAAGAAAAAGGCATAAGTTCTACACTTGCCTTTAAATGAATTTCAAGGGTAGGCAACACTAATCTTGATCAAATCAGAGGAAAGGTTGCCTAGGGGGGATGGGGTGAGGGACTGACCCTATATTATATAAAATATTACTTGTTTTTCAGATTTATGGATACTGAATGCAGCTGAACAGAATATATTCCAAGTATCTATTTTTGTAATTCCCAGCATTTAAAAAAGTTGGGATATTGTCAGTTTGTGTTTTTTACACCAATTTTAATGTTCAACTTGCTAAATGCTTTCTAACATACATTTTCTTTAAGATGAATAGAAATCCACTGAAGAATTTTAAATAAAACTTAATTAGGAAATAGTGCTTTGAATATTTTTCTTGAATGTAAAATTTACATAATGAAAGATGATTAAATACATGTTCTGTAACATGTAGGTATGTAGAAGACTATAGGGTGCTCAACTGGCACACATGCTAAAATTTAAGATCAAAGTTAAAAAAGTTTCTCTGGATAACAGATAATTAACCTATAATGGACAGGATTAGGTCAACTATCACACATTGATTTGTACATCATTAACAGTGCTAAAGGTATAGAGATAGAAATTATTTTTAAGGTAGGCACCAGATGCCCTAAAATTAAAATTAATAAACTAGGCTTGAGAAGTTATAACATTTAGTAATACTATAAAAGAAATTAGGAACTACCAATATTTGTTGGAAATATAGGAAAGGTAGAAAACCCTAGTATCTTTCTCTCCAGGATTTCAATCAATAAGATACTATCTGAACCACTAAGTGGAACATTTGAAGTGTTAGACTTTAATTGTTATTTCTTGGGAAAATGCCTAGAAATTAAGAGATTAGGGGACTCTTAGTAAAGCCATCTCTAGAATAGATAACTGGCAGTGTCTCTTTTAAAGTAAGTAAATGCAATCTCATTTATTATGCTAAATACAATAAAGCCTTTAACGAATGTGTAATTAGGCTGTTAGAGGATCTAACTGCACCTCCATCTATTTTCTTGGTTCCTTTGAGAAACCATGCAAAATTTTCATCCTATGTTAATTATCGATTTAATCAGTCAGTGCTATAGGAAAATCTTTTGCTCTCATTATAAAAGATAGTTGCTGTAAACATTTGACGTGTGAATACTTTCCCTGCTCTTAGGCAGGCTATAATTTATTAAGCACAAATATAAGGAAAAAAAAAAAAACTGAGCAGAGAGCTTAATCAGCGTTGGCCCTCAATTAAAACAGGTAATATTTGCTGGGTTTAAGAAAAAAAGCAGATGACTCCAATTAGCTGTCAAATCATCTGGCAAAACAGCTGTTACATAAATCGAGAATCACTTGGTCTGCCTGATCATTTTTTCAGTTTTGTCTTCATTTTTCAGACATTTAAAAAGAGAGTTCCTCCATTCATGTAAAATTTGAGAAGTGGGGAAACTCACTGGCAGCATTAGAAGTCATGGTTTTAATGAACTCTGATGAGAGAGGGAAAGGGAGGTAGGGAGGGCGTGCTCTGGGAAGGGCAGGAGGCTTGGGGCCTGGCTGGGGTGCTGGCGATACTGGTTTTTGACTGGGTCCTGGTTCCTTGAATCTGCTCAGTCAGTGAAAATTCCTCAAGCTGTGTGCATGGAACTGGTGTACTGGCCTAACACTCAGCGGGTCTCACACACTGAACTTCATCCACAGGTTCTTGGAAATTCTGATTTTAAGCAAAACGACCCACAAGCAAGTCCTTAATTAAAGTCCTTTTGGTTTGGATTTTTTTTTTTTTTTTCGTCAGCATTACAACAAAATGACATTATTTGAGGACTTGTTGCACTTCAATAAAATTGACACAAAAATATAAATTCCTTCCAGAAACACATGGAATCACCTCAGTTTGGTGTCCAAATGAAAAGGCTTTCTGATACTCTGTAAGAGATGATTCTCACAAACATTTCTCCATCAATTCCCTCTGTTCTCCAAGAAAACATAACAATATTCCAGCATCTTACAAAGTAGGACATTAAAAAAAATGACACATAAACATCAGCTTTTGGATAATAATCAGATTTAAAATGTACATGCTCCTTACCCAAAAGGTGTTTTCTCTCTCAAGTGTGTGGCAGTTTGCTCATGGAGATGCTAAGCGAAGATCCTGGTGGTGGCCCGCACCTAGAAGAACAGAACAAAGAGAAAACTCGCTGAGCTGCAAGTATTTACTGTCCCATAGCTGTTCACTGCACTCCAGTGTATTTATGCACCTAACTATAAAATCAAGACTCATTGACTCAAAGGTTTGTGAAACAATGTAGGTAGTGGAAGGTTCTTTGGTTCCCAAAGGGAACCAATCTGGCACAAGGGTCCTAGGCTAAAAAAAAAAAAAAAATTGTTCCTCCCTGAGAAATGATCAATAAGATGATGGGGTGTGAACAAACGGCCAAGGGAGAGAGCGTAGACTATAAAGAAGTGGGTAAACAGACAGACTAGCTTCCATCTAGGACAGACTCACAGTTAGGAGGAAGGATGAAGCAGGGAGACAGGAGAGGCGGCAGAAGGCTCAGCTGTCTGGCATTATGAAAAGGCAAGCAAGGCAAGTTTTATGGAGGGGGCTGAGCTTAAGAGTGGAATGCTTTGAAATTCAATCAGCATCAATACTCAAAAGTGGTGATTTTTTTGTTTGTTTGTTGACTAGGTCAGGTGCTGAGTGAACGTGGTCAGGTGCAAGGGTGATGATGAAAACTGGGAGGCGGTACAGGCTGGCCTCCTAGTTCACCATTGCACACACCCAAGCACAAATCCTTGCAGTCAGCATCTGTATGTGTCTGTGAGCCACCGGTGGGTAAACCTTTTGCAGATCACCCTGGATGAGGGCATAATCCACTCCCTGAAAAAGGAAACTCATAGAGGTGACCCAGGCACTCTGAAGGTGCAGCACGTTGGGTGCAGAAATATGGACAAGGTCATGTCCTGGAGAGGTGCCCTGCTTTACAGAATGTGTCCCTGCTCTGGAAGCCAGTTATTTCCATAAAGTGGTTCTCCATTTTCTTAGCACATCAAGGTCCCTACAGGTGGTTACTCCTCCCCATACCCTGGAGATGTGTGGACATGGAAACCCTAGAGAGAGTTCATGTATGTTGAGTACGCCCTATGAGCAAGACCTCATAGAATCTCCACAATCACCTTAAAAGTCAGGCAGTATTTTAATGCACATATTACAGATGCTCAAACAGAAGATTAGAAAACATAAGGAATCTGCCAAAGGTCACTCTTCACAAATCTTATATTATCAATGGTGCTTTTATTCCCCCATCATAGTCAGGAATATTTCTCGATAATTCTCTTGGTTGCTATACATGTCTGCACTGAGATTCGAGTCCAGTGTTATGGGATATCCCGGGGCACGCTGGAGGAGAGAGTCAAGGACTCCTGTTGCACTTGTTTATAATTTCTAACTTGATGAAAACTTGCAGTGTTTGTGTTGTGGATCACATAAACCATAGCACATACTTTCCAGCTTAAGTACCTGACACACTGCTTCTTCACTCCTGGTTACCAGGTGTCCCCTGAGATCCTGGGGCAGTGGAGTGGGTGACACATGACACCATGGAAGATGGTGGAACTGGGCCAACCAATGTCCAAACTCAGGTATCAGGACCAGCAACCATTTGCGATGCTAGAGTTTTAGGTTAGAGGGAAATGGTGATGACACAAACTGGTGGTTAATATTCTGGAGTCAGTCCCTTGAGTGTTACAGCTCAACACAAGCAGTTTGGAGCTGAAGGAGTTTTGTCTCATTTTCACTTGACTGTGGAAATGGCTGGGAGAGGAAGCTGGTGGTTTCCCAGCATTTGGGAGGTGCCATGGACTCCTCAGTTTGGAAGTTTGCACCTGAGCAAGCCAAGTGCGTCTCCACCTGGAAATGTGTGGGCCTCATTCTGTAGCGGGACTGAGAAAATACTCTTCTATTTATCTCACTGTCTCTGTGGGCTTTTGCCATCTGGACCAGGAATCTAGTCACATCATCTTTTAAGATTGTTTCTTGGAAAAACACATTCTGTATTTTCCCTGTTTCCATATTTATTCAGGACATAGTCATTGACTGTTAGCCCTATGTCTGACGCCCTATCAGTTGACTATTAACCCACCCAGCAGTGAAAACAAATATGGTGGCTCACCTAAGTGAACTTCTAAGTGCCTGCGATGCAGCAACATTTCATGAATATGCTAGCTGAAGACTGCCTATGTTTCCCTCAAGTTGACCTATTCCTTTAGATCAACCACCAAAACAGCACAGAGGAGCCAAGAAGGAAGTGAGCTGGTGTGAATGTGGCACATACTTGGGTCAGGCATGAGTCGATGCCTAGAACGCATGATGTACTTGTCCTCACAGCCGTCCTGTGGGGCAGTGACACCCCCCGATTTAAAGCCCACTTTGGTTAACACTGAGGAACATCTTTCTCTACCAGGCCAGGCTGCCTCTCCAGAGGCAAGAATTCTTGCCTGCAGCTCTGCACCTAACTTGTGCCCTCTAGTAGCAGCCTGGGTCACCGCTGCCAGTTTCCCTATTCACAGAGGTGCCTTTTATTTGTCCGGAGCTCCTGGTAATTTGTTGCCAGGGTCATCAGAGCTGTTACTGGTCTATCATGTTTGAAGGAAATTTTACAGTTTGTAGCTGGGAGATATAAATATATATATATATATATATGCATGAGTATTAGAACATATATATAATACATGCAACATACATATAATATACCTATGATATATTATAACACAATACATATATAATACCTATAATAATAAAATATATAATATAATATATGTTTTAATACTCATGCTGATTGCTATTAACATTTTCAACATGTTCTTTTTTCTCAAGTGCCATAATAAAGCACTGTCAGCTAAGAGATCTGTTAATATGTAGAGAAACACAATTATTCTAGGTTATAGAGGTGTGTTTAAGCACCTAGATAATCTGATATTGTCCACCCTTCATTACTTACACTTAGACATTTTAGAGTATATACCAATCATTTCCTGATACTACAAAACCTAGTGTCAGGAGTTATCCATAGTTCTCTTTTCTGAAAAACAGCCTCTCTATCAGAGGGTCTTGGCCATTTATGTAATGATTCAGGATATAACTGTCCTGGGGTTCATAGGTGAGAATAAGTCAAGTAAAAAAAAATCCCTAAGCTATCAATTGTTAATGCATTGGTTCAGTGACTTCTCATTCCTTTAAAATTGTAGGATTTTTATTAAGAGTAGTTATATGGCAATGAGCTAACCCAAAGCAACATCTATATAAGACAAGTCACTCAATAGTGCAGTACTTGGTTTGATTGTTCAGAGCAACTAAATATGAATTAGACTGACACACAGTTGATCACCATACAGTTAATCACAAGGGTGTTAGTACCTTCTAGATTGACTGTGACTTGGGCCATACAACTATAATTTGTACTTAGCCTCGATTTCTTGAAAATTACCGAAGATAGAAATAGCAAGTTAATTTATGGAGAGTAATTACTTAAGGGTGCTACTGAGTTTAGCCATGCAATCAAGATTATGGTTTCCAAATATCAAGTGAATTAAAATAATCATTTGCGATTAACTTTTCTCTTGCAAAACTATTTTCAGCATTCAGTAATTTGATATACTTCACAAATATTTAGAAAATAACTAAGATCTAGAGACTTAAAGGAAATGGATAAAATCTATAACTTGGAACGACCCCTACTCTATGCAGGTTTATGAACAGTGGCAACCAAACTGATAATTTAACATGGCCTGAACCTGACACATTTCTACGTGTAAAGATATATTTTTTCTATGTTGTAAGGTTTTTCCAATCAAGTCTGCTTAAATATAAACTTGGGAGGTTTCTGATAAGAATCATAATACAAATGGAAGAAGAGTTGAAGGGACCAGATTTCTAAAGCTCAACAAACCCAGAGATGTGTATCCTATCTGCAGATCAGAAGAAAAAAATTATCTATGATGAAAATAGAGTGGAAAAAAATGGTTATTACTGTCAGCGCTAAAAAGCTTATAGAGTCACTGATTAAGGTCACTGCCAATTTTATCAATGAAGAAAATGCTTTTGCTAGGATGCAACCACTCACTTTTACCATCCTCTCCATAGGCATGTGGGTGACGTTTCTGTCAGTATGCCCACGATCAAACACAAAGAGGATTCTGGGTCAGCCAGATGAGAATTCTTTAGAAAACCCTACATCATCTCAAACCAGCTCCAAATGATGCATTCTAAGTCTTCCTGTCCTCTTGTTTCTCTCAAGGCTGTATCATTAGATAAAAGAAGAAGGAAAGAAAAAATAACCACTAGGCACATGAACATTAGTTCTTGGGCTTCCTTGGAAATAAAATCTAAAATATTCAGAACAAACCTTCCCTTTAAAGATTTATTAATCAGGGCCTCCCCGGTGGCGCAGCGGTTGAGCGCTGGGTTGCGAAGCTGCCCGCAGCCTCGGCAGCGCCGGTTTGATCCCCGGCTGCTCCCAGGCCACCGGGCAAGGGTCCCACATGGCGCACAGACTCTCCTGCTGCCCGCTGATCCCCTCAGCGGTGTACTTCGGTCCTTCTGCCTGTTCTGCTCCCTACTCTGGCTCTGGTGAGCCAGACTGTACCCTCCCGTGCTTCTGACTGTACCCAGCATTTGCATAAATAAACAAATCTTTAAAAAAATTATTAACCAAAGAACAGCTAGTGAGATCTAAATCCCATGGTCTAATCTGATACCCAACCAACACCTTGCTGGTCAGCAGCAAGCCCAGCCTGGTTGCTCAGGGGAAGTTAATTAAATCATTTTCCTACCTGAATGCACCACAGAAGGTGCAAGATGTGGTAAATTGCCTCTGATAGTAGTTGAACAATATAAGTAGAAATGATAATGGGTCAAAAACACATAGAATTTGCATCAGAACACACTTGGAATTACTTCATACAAATAACTTGACACGTGCAGGCAAGTAGATGTCCTCAGAGCCCGAGTCATAGAATCCACTCACTGCAGAGCAAGGCAGGAATGCGCAATGGAAGAGGGAGGCTTCTAATTTGCATTGATAATTCCAAGTCTCAGACAAAGGAGCATGCTCTCTGGGAAACACTGATGTGAAGGGGTAAGAGCCATTTAACCACAGTAAAGGAAGCTC